ATAATTTTATAAAGGAAAATTTATATCATATATAAAACTGTAGTGCAATGTAAAAGGATATGATAGGTATAAAATAAAATAAAATATAAAAAGATATTTTTCTGTTCTTTTAAATTTATGGTATATAGTACAAGACCAAATATCCAGAAAGCTTACAATTGGAAGTGGTCCAGATTTCTGGATTTTTCAGATTTTGAACACAGGCTAAATGTATACTTAAAATATAAAATAAATAATGGAAGTAAAGAATGAAACTGTATTTAACATATCATATGCCAGCAGTCCCACTGGAACTGGCATTTGTGCAATGTATAAACCACAGAAACCAAAACAAAGCAGTTACACAGCAAACTAAAGCTCACCAAATTCAAAACTAGCCAGTTTCAAAAATAGCTGATATTTTGGTAATACCAGATTTCTTAAAGTTGGATATTTGGTTCAGTACTGTATTTTATGATTTGATTAATTATGTCAAGAGTTTAAAATTTTTTAAAACTCATGGCATAAAATTATTTACAAAACTAAAGTAATTAAATGTATGTTAAAACATTTCTGTAATAAATATCCTCAATAAAGTAAATATTAACTTGATCTACTTGTTTAATATAACTAAAGAGTGTACTAAGAATATGAATTTAAGGATTGTGTATTACAACATTCATTTAAAATAATTTGTATATCTTCCATTATTTAAATTCCTTCAAAAAAAAAAAAAAAAAATTCAGCACACCAGTTGCTTAACTTTCCTGAATTACTCACTCTCATAATATGATTAATAAATATTGATAAATTAATGATCTTAATTAACAGTAATTTTACTCACAATTAATTAAAATCATTAAAGTATACATAATTCTGTATAATGGAATCTCAAATTTACATCATTTTATTTTATACATAAATTTACATACATACCATCATGCCCATTTCCCAGAAGGAGTGGGCAGCAGGTAAGAGAGATAGTACACAAAAAGATGTAAGTTTTTATATTAAATTCTTGTTATTTATGTATAAAATCAGTATTGTGTCATAGTTACATTGCAGAAAAAATATTTTCTAAATTTATATAGGTATTATATAAGCAAATCTTAAATTTTTAAACACATTTTCACAGTTTCAGCTTTAAGAATTTATCTATTCAAATAAATTAGCACAAAGTGTATAGTAATTACAAAAAACAAGAAATATAATGAAAAAGTATTTTAGAGTGAACACAATAAAAATATAACTGTATATAAATCAATGTAAGTGCAACTGATNGCCACAAGTATAAAAAGGTTAAGAACCACTGATTTAAAGCACTAGTTAATACTAGTAATAATAACTGATAACTATTGTCTATTATTAGCTGCATATTGAGGCTGTGTGTGAAAAAATAGCATAAAAATGAACATTTAATTTAAGGTAATAACTAAAATTAAAACTTTGATTACAATAAGTGAAGTTTTATTACTGCATTTTAACTTAAATATTTTGGGACATGCTAAGTTTGGTAATGTTATATGACTCAACAATATCTGTAATAATAATAATAATAATAATTATAATAAATCAAGTCTACTGTATAAAACCAGTAAAAAATTGCAAACTAAGAGTTTGCAACATATAGTTTTACATAATAAAATATTAGAAAAAATCTAGGATACACAGAATATCTAATAAAATTAGGCATTTTATTATGAATTCAATTGTTGCATTATAACTATGAAATTAAATCAATATTTAATGATTATAATATTTAGGTTGATGTTACATCAATTTAATCAAATTGAACAGTAACACACAAAATACTAAAATGTAAATGATGGCTAATAATTTCAATGGAAATGAATTTATAGTTCAAAATACATCAACATTCATAGTAATTTTATCACTTACAAATAAATACAGAATAAAATTTGAAATTAAAAAATTTTTAAAAGTTATTTATTTTAGGGTTTCATAAAGTGCAATTTAATATTGTGAGAAGCATAGCATTTTCTGATTACACTTATTTAATGCTAGAGTATACAAAATTTTCTAAGTGAAAAGTAATCTGAATCTGAACAGTTTAGTATCTACATATAATTCCAATGGATTCTGATGAAGAATTTGACAGACTTGGACAGTTGAGTAGTTTACTTGGAATGCAGAATGTCATTCTGATATTCCATCAATCTAACAGCAAACCATACTAGATTTTGCCCCAATATATATAGAAAAAAAAAGAAAAAAACTTATAAAAAAAAACTTAACATTAGACTGTGATTATATCATCATCATCATTATTGCATCTTTACTTACATATTTTTCTAAGCATTGGTATATTTTTACAAATGTAATACAGTTTAGGAAATTCTGTATTATTTAACTTTAACATTTATAAGAAACATAACATGTAATTAAATTTAAAATAAAAATAAACCGTCTAACACACTAGTGTTAAATAAAAAAAATTAACTAAATAAAAACATCTCAGCTATTAAAACTTTATAAAATTATAAATAATAATTATAAGAAAATCATCTTTGATCCTATTTTATGCAATCACTTCTGAGTGTTAAACTCCATAACTTAAGATTTTACAAATACAGTAGACTCCCGAAAACTCGGCACTACGGATAACTCAGCCACACCCTGGCAGGGCAAAAAAAATCCTTAGTTAATTAATTTTCATTATAGACAGCTTTATGCCTCATAAAGTGTTTTCCTGGGGTATGTCTTATCAGGTAAATTACTGTACACTGTGTATTCATTAATTTTTATTTTCATGTAGTAATGGCTCTACCTTCATAAAGTACATACTTTTCCTTTGTTTAAAGATATTTGGGCAGTTTATTTTCAAGCAAACAATACATACAAGTATAGTACAGTATTTTCTGAGGACTCCACACTCGTACTTATTTTTTTAATGCCATTCCCGATAACCCAGCATTTTCACAAACTTGGCCACCCTTCAGTCCATATTAGGCCGAGTTTTCGAGGCTCTACTGTATTTCAATTTGCTCAATTACTCACTCTCATAATATGATTAATAAATATTGATAAATTAATGATCTTAATTAACAGTAATTTTACTCACAATTAATTAAAATCATTAAAGTATACATAATTCTGTATAATGGAATCTCAAATTTACATCATTTTATTTTATACATAAATTTACATACATACCATCATGCCCATTTCCCAGAAGGAGTGGGCAGCAGGTAAGAGAGATAGTACACAAAAAGATGTAAGTTTTTATATTAAATTCTTGTTATTTATGTATAAAATCAGTATTGTGTCATAGTTACATTGCAGAAAAAATATTTTCTAAATTTATATAGGTATTATATAAGCAAATCTTAAATTTTTAAACACATTTTCACAGTTTCAGCTTTAAGAATTTATCTATTCAAATAAATTAGCACAAAGTGTATAGTAATTACAAAAAACAAGAAATATAATGAAAAAGTATTTTAGAGTGAACACAATAAAAATATAACTGTATATAAATCAATGTAAGTGCAACTGATATTATGATTAATTACTATTTTTTTAACTTTATAAACATTAAAATTTTAAAAAACACCCTATATATTATTATTGATTATATTACATTTACAAAAATAGTAACTGGTTAAATACTTTATTTATTATTTTTTAATCCAACTCCATATTTTTCTCATTTTTACATTAATTTATTTCCTATCTACATATAGATAAAATAAATCCAATATTGTTATATGCTAAAACCACATTCTCAAAATTAAATATTAAAATAAAGTTTTTAAAATATAAAATAAACAAAAGTGAATTAAAATCAAATAAATTGACCTCATTTATAACCATCATTAACAAAGATGGAATTAATTCTAAATTACAGTAATTCCAAATCTCCAAATTCCAAAGCTGAAATTCTTAAATATTTAAATTAACCTTTTGTAAGCAGGTTTGGTTCTTACTTTACAGCCTGATAGCATGTTAATTGTGTCAAAGATATCAAAATATTTATGTATTTTATTTTGCTTTAGTTTTAGAGTAAGTTTCTTAAAATCTCCTGCATTTCTGCACCATATCATAAAAAATTAAAATTATTGTAAATTTCTTACATTTCTTTACCTTTATTTTTAATTATTTTTGGTTTTACTTATTCAATTTTATATATTATAAAAATCATCCAATTGAAATTTTTTTAATATCAAGTATTTTAAGAAGTTTGTTTTGTTTTCTTCAAATATTGTGTGATATGTATTTGATAAATTTTGCATACATATATGCATAATATATCAAAAAATAAAATAGAAAATAATTATGAGCAATATTTTCTGTGTCTTTCTTTAAAACTTGTATATTTTTTTGGTTTTAGTGTATATTTATCTTAAGTCTGTAATTAATTTTGTAATGTAATATACTATATGTATATAAACACCAAAAACATTGCTTTTAATTAGAAATTAGTATCTAGGTATATTATAACACACATAATAGAAAAGAAATTATTATTTTATATTTCATAAATATACACCATTTAATTACTTCAGTTATCAACAATTCATTAGGTAATTAACTATATAAATAAATTAAAATTTTACAAGATATATTTACCCATTTAGGTAGAAAAAATAGACTTAATACTCTCCTTAACATATTTATAAACTTATTATGAGTAATATATGAAGACAATTCAATATATTAAAAAATCTGTTGTAATCATAACATGTAATTGAAGTATCAGAGAAATTTAGTAACGAATTTTGTTCTGAATTTCAAAGATAGAAAGCAACGCAATCTTTTCCTATACACTAGATAAGGTAAATTCCACAAATAAACTGATAGCAACTATGACAACAGATCATACTTCACTGTGTTATTTTTGTCAACACTGTTATTTATATTTTTCATAAATTAATTGAAAAAATAATATTTATGAAAATACAACACGAAAATCATTACAAGTTTGTATATTTTAAAATATTTTTACAAATTATTATAAATTATGAAAGAATTTAATCATTAAAATTTATTTCAATACTTACGTATCTATCTCCACTACCTAATAATGGGGTTTGAGCCTGAAAATATAATTAAACATAATTTTATAAAGGAAAATTTATATCATATATAAAACTGTAGTGCAATGTAAAAGGATATGATAGGTATAAAATAAAATAAAATATAAAAAGATATTTTTCTGTTCTTTTAAATTTATGGTATATAGTACAAGACCAAATATCCAGAAAGCTTACAATTGGAAGTGGTCCAGATTTCTGGATTTTTCAGATTTTGAACACAGGCTAAATGTATACTTAAAATATAAAATAAATAATGGAAGTAAAGAATGAAACTGTATTTAACATATCATATGCCAGCAGTCCCACTGGAACTGGCATTTGTGCAATGTATAAACCACAGAAACCAAAACAAAGCAGTTACACAGCAAACTAAAGCTCACCAAATTCAAAACTAGCCAGTTTCAAAAATAGCTGATATTTTGGTAATACCAGATTTCTTAAAGTTGGATATTTGGTTCAGTACTGTATTTTATGATTTGATTAATTATGTCAAGAGTTTAAAATTTTTTAAAACTCATGGCATAAAATTATTTACAAAACTAAAGTAATTAAATGTATGTTAAAACATTTCTGTAATAAATATCCTCAATAAAGTAAATATTAACTTGATCTACTTGTTTAATATAACTAAAGAGTGTACTAAGAATATGAATTTAAGGATTGTGTATTACAACATTCATTTAAAATAATTTGTATATCTTCCATTATTTAAATTCCTTCAAAAAAAAAAAAAAAAAATTCAGCACACCAGTTGCTTAACTTTCCTGGCAACATTTAAAATTGCATGTGTGGTTCCATCTGTTATGATATTTTATTATTAAAAACTTTTATATTTTTAATTATTATAAAATGGCAAAAAGCTTAATTTTGAGGGTAAGAATGGGTTTTATAAAAAAATTGTAAATGCTAATAATGAGTAAAATTGTCATTAAGTCTGACCTATGAGATATGACACATGAACCCTTTTACCTCCACACCCCAATGAACTTTAACCACTAATAATTTAATAACATCAATCCCCTAATACACAAATCTCTCCGAAAAATTTCAGAAATTTTTGACAAAAAGCACAGGTATTAATTATTAAGCTTCAAAGAGGGTGAACAAAATCATGCTCTCTTCACACACACTAACATCCATACATACAGAAATAAAACCCAGAAGTCTTTTGCATTTCTTGACATTGCAAGGTTCCAAGTCCAAAAATTTAAGTCTTGGTGGGTCATTTTTTGACCTATCGCTTTACCCTCTGTTATATATAACAGAGGTGAGAAAGTAGTAATTTCTATTTGGCAGGAGTATACATTATAGCTTAATATTTGATACATTTAAGAATAATCAACTTATATTCCAGCAGTATGTTTAATAAATGAACAAACTGAACAAACATTTTCAAACAACAATAGTGTTCATCATCAGGTTACAAATGCTGATAAATTTAAATAACAATTTGAACAATTCAAATTAAAAAAAATATTCATAAGAACAGTTGATAAGCAGGAATATTGAAAATACTGAAAAGTTTGTCACTGACCAACCAGTAAAATGATTAGCATAAAGAAAAAGTGAAAATTCGGGAAAGTTACAAATATTTAAGAAAATAAAATTATTTTTTTTAGTATTAAGAAACAATCATTGCACTTAAAAGAAAATTCAAATATACAATTGAATATTTGGATTATTTCACATCAATAACATTTTCAGACTATTATTGAAAACATTAATTAATTAAATATCTAAATATAATTCTTAAATATCAGTTCAATATAATTTAAAATAAATTTTAATTATTCAAAAACTTAATGTCTACAGATTATTTATGAAAAATATAAAATTTATTACTTTATTTTATGAGCATTTTATTTAATTCAGTTAAAAATAGTTATAAAAAAATAATTTAGAAGACTACTGTTCAATACAATTTGTAGTATACACAGCCAATTATTTGAAGGGAAAAAGGAGGAAAGTTACACGAATCATTGTGAAGTCTCAATTGTCTTCATAACAAAACAGTCTTAAATCATGACTAACTTTTAAAACTTATGTGAAGCACTTACTGAAAACTGAAGTTATATGTGAAGGTTAACTTAGATTAGTATTCATACAAACAGTTTATAAAATATTAAAACTAGTAATTATGTTTTAGAATATTTGTAAAACATAATTGCTAATCTTTGTCAAATTCAAACTATCAATTCAGCTTAAAAATACATTTGTTGTATTACTATTTATTATTTTTTCAAGTTCTTAAATCATCTTCAGATAAAAGAATAACTTTATAAATCTTTCTCAGTAAACTACATTTTTAAGTGTTTTGATTTTTTATATAAAAAAAATAATAAAATAAATACAAACGAAAAATACATAATAATGAAGAAATTAATAGAATATAAATTATTTAAATAATAAAAAAAATGGCCCAAAATTTTTTCTAAAATATTTATTTATATGTTAAAATAGTGTAAATAAATGATAAAAAAATTAAGTATGACTAAAGAATTATTTAAGCTAATTTAGATTATTTCTTTAGTAAAACCAAAGACTGCAGTCATACATACAATATTTTTAGTACTATCTTTAGAAAGATAATTAACAAATATCCAAAAGATATTTGTTATTTCTATTTCAATTTATGTGATATAAAATGTTTGTGTTCTTTTAAATGTATTGAAAGTTTAAATTTTGTTGAATAGAAAGATAATATAAACTTATGTTTATTCTAATAGAAATAAGTATATTCTTACCAGTTTCAAAATTGATATTCCTTGAGGAAATCATGGGTATACAAGTCAGGGAGCAGGGAAGGCAACTTCTCTCCCAAATTTGGGGAAAATAGTGAGGAAAATTTGAGCAAAGAAAGAATAAAAGAAAAAACATTGCAGAGAAAAACATTAACGAATTATGAGCAGAAGAACTATTTATAGAAATGCTAGAGAGGAATATGATCAACAAAATAACAAGAGAATTCATAATCTCTATGGAGTTACACTTTATTTGGCAAAAAACAAAAATGTAAAAATGTATTTAATCACTATAATAATATTTCTTTATTTTAAAGACACGAACTGTCTAGACTTTATAACCACAAAAAAGTATGAAATTAACAAAAAGTCAATAAGAAATACAGCATTCAGTTTTCTGTTAATCTAGAAATATTTAGATTTTTCAAGAGTGAATATTGTTTATCCTAAATTCTAGCAAATATCAAGTTGGTTATTAAAATGCAATTCATAACATACACAAAGCCACAAAATACACAAAATACAAAATATATTTTTGATTATATTTTAAAATGCTTTATTTTCATATTCATTTTGAGCTTAATATTAATAATATGAAATTAGTATATTTTATGTTTTACAATTATTACTTACATTAAATCATAAAATTTTTAAAAGTATATTATTATATTAAAATATATATACATAAATAAAGAAACAGTAATTATGTACAATAATTAACAACTTATATTATGTAATATTTTTTGTGTTGTATTAAGTTTTGATTATTTTATGAATTTATTATTAAAGTATGGGGCATCATCCTACATTAATCTGACAATTTGGAGCTTTGAATCTGAAAAAAATTTGAGACAGTCACTAAATATACAGTACATAAAAATGAAATGACATTATAAACACTCACAAAATTACTAGAATGAAAAAAAGCACTAGAATAAGCTAAAATGCAAATATATATATATATATATTTGTACTGTATGTATGTATGTATTAGTGATGTGCCTAATATCCGAGGAAAAAAAATCTGTATCCTTATCCGTTACTTTTTAGCGGATCTTTAACGGATCTTTTATCTTAATGAATTTTATTACTTATATGAAATTTTAAAGATAGGTAGCAATAAAATACTAATAACTTCAATTCAAATCTCTTTTTATTTCTTAAAATCACATATTTGGCACATTCATATTGCAAAAATTTTATCATGCAAAAATCATTTACTATTGTAAAATATTTCTATATTACACTGCTAAACTTTTTTGTCGACATTGTTTTATTTTAATTTAACTCAACACTCTCCAAAAATACAAACATAATCTATGCTATCCCGTTTCACACTAAACTATAAACAAAAATATGCGCAGTACAAGTCAAAACATGTCATGTTACTAATGCAAAGAATCAACTATCAGTCAAAGGTCACACGCACCGGCACCGACTGAGTACGAAAGTTGAGATCTGTATCCGTATCCGCGGATATACATTTTTAACGATCTGGCACATAACTAGTATGTATATAATTTTAATCTTATCTTTTATTGCTGCTTACTGAATAAGCCAAAAAATACATGTAATCAAGAAATGCTTTTGTTCTGAATCAGATCATCATCAGTTTAACCAGTAATGGATGGAATATGAAAAATGTCCTAAAACTCAAATTTAAGACCAAAATCAAAAAACAATAATGCATGTGATATGGACTAAATACAAAATGAGTGTGTATCATTCTAGCCATTGTATGTAGCCAGTTAATGTAAGTAAAGACAAAATTGTAAGTGGCAAATGGCAAAGTACTGTTAGTTATATGACAGATTTAGTTCATTTGTCGCTTAGTCTTTTAATTAGATTTTCCCAACTCCAAGTGCTCAGGGTGTCTGCCCATCTATCATCTAGGTTGACAGAATCTTGGTAATTAATGACATCAAAGTATTTACCTAAAATATAAATAAAACATTATTTGGCATAATAATAATAATGGTATGTGAATCAGTCTTCTGAGCACAATAGGTATGTCCCAACTTACTATGGCATCTTTCATTAGTGCCCATTAAGTGAGTCTGTGCTGTTTTAAAGTTCTTAGTATATAAATCATAGTGTTCTCTAACTCTTGAGTCTATTGACCTGTATGTGGTACAGTACCTACATAGAAGAAATCCTTATCTTCACTTTTAGCAAGATGACATGTATGTCCACTATTTTGGTTTTTTCTACTGCTTTTCTATCGTATCTGAGTAGTTGCATAATGATAGGTAGCTCTAG